AGCACTGATCCCTGGGGAACCCCACTGGCCATTTAGGCCCTCAGCTTTTGAAAGGCAATTGCCAAATGATGCCAATGCCAATAAGAGTGTCACTTCAAAATAAAATTACCCCCCATCTGGTTGGGAATATAGCCTTTTAATTTTTTTTTGGAGAGGGAAAGGAAGTTGCAGAAGAGTAAAAATTAAGAATGTAGACATTAAGGAGAAGGTACAGGTGGGCAAGGCTAAGACAGAAAGAAAGTCTGTGGTTACAAGGTGGAAATATGAGTGCCCAGCATGGCAAAGGGGCCAGAATGTGTAGGAAGAGATACACAGATGTGACGGGAAAGAGAATTGGGGGTTGGGGCACTCTGCTGCTTATGCTGAGAGCTCTGAGAGGGTGATTCTTCATGTAACAGTGATGCAGAGACTGGGAGGAGGGACTAGTTCTGGGGACTAGTTCAAAGCTTCCACTGACATTCATTTCTTTAACTGAAATTGTAAAGAGACACCGTCTGTGTGTGAAGATCTGAGAGTCAGATCCTGCTTCTAACCTTTTTGGGACCTGAGGTACATAATTATACAAATAAAACATCCCTTAAGTGTGCGTAACCCTAGGAAGCAGGTTGGCAGATGGCTTCAATTCTGCCATTGTCAGACTAGTAGCTGTTTAACTTGGCAATTTCAGTATTTGCAGTGCACTGTTCACTCCCTCCTTTTACCACTGAATATATTACAGTGTCTTTCATCTGTCAGTCATTGTAGGAAATTGAGCCAGTTTCAGTAAAGACTGGAAGTTGCTTTCGTGATGTAGATACATCATTTTCCCCAAACCACGTTTCATAGTCTTGAGTCTATTCTACGCACACACGAGAAACACCCTGTAAACAGCACTTTTTATGCTAAAGTTTACAATTATAGGAAATTTATGTGCAGTTACTCCCCACAACTGCATCATCAGCTGTCATGGGCTGAGTTGCACAAAACCAGTGGGTCAGTCACTTCTATGAGCTCTTCACTATTTTGAGTAATCCTGAGAATGTAATGTAACCAAGGTTGTATAATTTACTGAAAGGCTTGTTTCTCAAAAAGCATTTTAGTGGCCATTTTTTTCACACACTGGATTCCATTTTAGTGTGAGTATTCATAGAATTCACAGAATTATTCAGGTTGGAAAAGACCCTCGGGATCGAGTCCAACCACAAACCCCACTCTGCAAAGCTCACCCTAAACCATCTCCCCCAACCCCACATCTCAACAACTTTTAAACCCTCCCAGGGATGGGAACTCAACCCCCTCCCTGGGCAGCCTGTGCCAGTGCCTGACTACTCTTGCTGTGAAAATAATTTTCCTCATGTCCAGTGTAACCCTCCCCTGTTGCAGTTTGAAGCTGTTCCCTCTTGTTCTGTTGCTGATTATCTGTGAGAGGAGCCCAGCCCCAACCTCTCTACAGCGTCCTGTCAGGCAGTTGTAGGGAGTGAGGAGGGCTCCCCTCAGCCTCCTCTTCCTCCAACTCAACAGCCCCAGCTCCTCCAGTCGCTCTTCATTGGATTTGTTCTCCAGGCTCTTCCCCAGCTCCATCGCCCTCCTCTGCACTCGCTCCAGCACCTCGAGATCTCCCTTGTATTGAGGTGCCCAAAACTGGACACAGTAATTTCAGACAAAATCTGAAGTAATTTACATTTTTAAGCTAAGTTGTCTATTCCAGGATCTGAAAGGTTGTCAGGTTGACAACAAGAAGAATCAAAGTATTAGGAAATGCCTATTAATAAATGTAAACTTTATATTAGGGCTTTAGTTTTGTTGGTAGCTCTACTTAAAACAGCAAAATTTTGCATGCACAAAGTAGCATCTGCAATTAATAAAGATCCTTTGGAAATGGAAGCTGTGTAGATGTGGCTGTGTATTGGAGTTTTAAGAAGTCGGAGATGTATTCTGCAAATTTAAACAACCCTTCTTCTTCTTCTTTCCCGCAGTGTACACAACTATACCCCCAAGGTTGGAGAGATTGATACGAGGAGAGCCATTCGTCAGGCCTTTGATGTTTGGCAGAGAGTGACACCACTTACCTTTGAAGAGGTCCCATACCATGAAATTAAAAATGACAGGAAGGAGGCAGATATTATGATATTTTTTGCTTCTGGTTTCCATGGAGACAGCTCTCCGTTTGATGGAGAAGGTGGATTCTTAGCTCACGCTTACTTTCCTGGACCAGGAATAGGAGGAGATACTCACTTCGATTCAGATGAGCCGTGGACCCTGGGAAATTCCAACCATGATGGTAAGACTTGCAGGTCGTTTCTCAGAACAAAGATAAGTTGGACGTAGACGCACGGACAGATGTTGAGCTGGAAAGTAGTTGATTAGTGGAGCTTTGGCCTCCTGTACAATGGTTCAGATGTTTTCTAAAACATATATTCTATCTTAAACGGGTAAATATTAGTAGGTTTGTGACTCCTTATGCCTCAGTGCACGTGTGTGAGTGTTGAGGAGCGCACAGAAGCGTGTGGCTGCTGGCTCTTTAAATCTCAAGATTTGGACCCAAGTTGCTGCAGAAACTACGGCTCTGGGAGGGGAAAGTTGAGCAGGAGAGTGTTGAAATGTAAACTCCCTGTCTTGTGGAATTCTTAACAAGTATAAAAAGTTAGTTGTAACGATGAATAGAAAGTTGAGAGAGTGAAAACATTTGAATATCAGGTCATTTTGATCCTTTGCCCCCCTCCGCAGTCTGAGTAAGGTCGTGGTTCCTCCCATCAGAGGTTGGGGCTGGCTCATTTAGTGAGGAGGGCTGATGGTTAGGACAAGTGTTTATGTGATAGTAAGCAATGAAGAGTTTCTGCCTCTTTCTAGCTTTATCTTACTCTCTAATTGCAAAGAGCACTTTCTGATCTATTTTCAAACCTTTGATTGGGGATGATGACGACTTGTAAAAAGTTTAAGTTAGAACTTAGGTAAGAATTTTACAGTGGCCTCATGAAATATCACTCCAATTGCCCCAGTTTTAGTGATTTGGGAAGGACGTGTCTTTAAACCTTCAGAGAGTCAAAATCACATTTTGAGGCATTTTGTAAGGATTAGAAGCTTACTTGGAATGTAAATATGGCTTGGATTTTAACCTTTATAAAAACATATTAGTGGTGTTGTGGCCATGATGTCTAAGGACATGTGCAGAGGTAAATGTCTTTCATTAGACCAAACTGTAGCTTGAAAAAGAGAAAAGCTTTCAGGCATGCCAGCTGCCTTCAGGCCTGACCTAAAAGTGACAGTTTCCTGTCAGAGTGGAATGCAAATTGAGAAAATCTCTCAGAATTTTGAGTCGGTATCTATCAGATCATCTTTGAGAGGAAACGGAGCTGGCAAGTTCAATGTGGGAATGCTAATTTGAAGGAAAGCTGAAATGATACGATCCTTGTCTCCTCATGGAAAGAGGAGTAATGTTTCCTGGCATTTTAAAATAAGATTAGATGCAGGCAGAGAAGGAGAGACGTTACAGCGTGTGGGATGCGGAGAGGGGATAGTGTGGTGAGTTTGGGAGGTCGTGGTGTGGCAGAGAAGTGGTGCCTTCCTTTTATTTCTAGATTTGTCAGTTTATAGGTTTCCCTTGAGGATCAGAATTGACGAGCAGAGGCCGGGTGATTACCTTGGGAGAGCTGCTTTTGCCGTGGTCGGGCAGGCTTGTGCTGTGTGAGGGGTCTCTGAGAGGTCGGTCTGGTCTCAGGAGTTATTTAATCTCAGGTCTGGGCTGCGAGGGTGGTTTATGCTCAGGATCTGACTTCCCAGGTAAGCGCATATCTGAGACCTGGGAGTGCTGGTGTCTGGGATAGAAGGTCCTTACAGGAAGGTGGAAGGGAAGGTTTCGACAAGTTATACTTGTTCTTCTCCTTTCTCTTCCTTCTGGTGATGAACGCAGCAGGGTTGGGAGGCAGCTTAAAGACTGGCAGGGGTGGCTCTGGGGAAAATTTTCCGCTGGGTAGGGTGTTCTAACGCAAATTATCACTTTTTTGAGGGTTTTTTTTTTTGGTCAGTTTTTAGGATGGTGTTTGAGAGCAATGTGTACAATGAGTAGAGGATCTTTTTTTAATAAAAGCCATTTCTTATGCAGCAGCCATGTGGCTCTTTCAAAAACATGATGTATTTCTCTCATGTTCTAAGTCATGAGTAGTGTCTTCAAAGTGCATGTAATCAGTATTTGAGGAGTTGCTGCGCACTCTGAGTGTGAAAATTGGTAGAAAAGTTGAGATTTCCATTCTGGACGATAAATGACTTTGCATTTGGTTTCAAATAAACGAGCTGCCTAGACTGGGTGGCATGGTTATCCAAAAACGCTTTTACAAGGATCACCAGTGAGGAGGTTGAGCATGGTGGGGGCATATTTGTCCCCTCCACCTGAGGGAAACACTGTCGATAGCACATTTCGTATGTTGAAGGGTGGCAGGGCTAAGACATTAATCAGAACATTATAGATGTGGTTAGTTTGGTTTTACCTGTGTTCTTAGCCTTGCTATGCAAATGTGAAAGTGCCTTGTCTCCTCGCTGGATGATCCAGGCATTTTTAGGAGTTTTTTTGCTTGTGTTTCTCTATTTCATGTCATTGGAGCTCTCACTAACTCCAGGTTCTCACCTCTAATGTGTTTTACAGTGAAGTGCTGTTAGCAGATCTTTAAGAGTTTCCTCTTGTTCAGGGGATTCCTGGCCTTTCCTCAGTTCACTGCCTTTTTTCCTTGGAGATAAGATATTAATGAGGACAATAATGTCTTTTTAACAGGAAGTGTGTCTTCATGTCCTTATGTGTTATGGTCTAATGGGGTGGTTCAGTCTGGAACTGAAGAAGTCTCTTAGTGAAAGAATAAAAGCACTACGCCGGTAGATCAGCAGCAGAGCTCTCATTTATTCAGGTGAAAAAAAAAAAAAGGAACTGTTTTGGCCGTTCAACATCCGTTCAGTGATTATAGGAGTCTTAAAATAGCCACGAAGTAACTTCACATAAACGTGCAAGATACCACCGTGTGAAACATTCCATTCTTGCCAAGAACGTGTGTTAGTTGAAGGAAAGACTTGAACGATGTGCTTCAAAGCTCTCTCAGCCTTGCAAAGATTGTAAAGGTGAGTGTCTGGTCAACAGAGCAGGGTGCTGAAACCAATGGTGTAGGTCCTCAGAGTGTTTGGCTGATCCATTTAGCCCATATAGTTTTGTTACAAACCATTTCGATCTGAAGCTTTGCTTCTCTTGGTCTACACTCGTCTCACTGTGTGGTGGCACCGAAAGAGTTTCAGCAAGTCCCTGTTTGGATGCAGCTGTCACCTCACAGAAGAATTGTTTTGGAGTCTCATTAGCGTTTGTACACGGGTAAAGGTGAATCATTTCATGTGAAGTCTTAACCAGTCAGAAAAAAAAGGAAGATTTAGAGAGACCTTTCTATGAGAACAGCCATCTCTGATTTGTATGTGGAGAATGTGGTGTATCTTGCTGATGAAAGGTTCTATCTTGTGAAGGTACCTTGGGGTAATCCGCTAAGTTTCATCAGCAATTTTGTCACACTAGCTAGTGGATAGCTAGTTGGGATTTATATGCCTGCTATAATTTTGCATGGTCATTATTATATTGATTTTGCCCTTTGCGGATGGCATGACCATTACCATGTCCCTTAAAATTATTGGTATAATCGTAATAGCTGTGATGCCGGTTTTTATCTTTCTGAGACCGTGGTAATAGGGGCATGTGTGCCAACACTTCTGTTACCTTCTGCCGTGAAGAATGATCCTGCACAGGCTTTCAGAGTGAATGCCAAGTTTCCTTTCCCCTGGAGATCAGTTATAATTTCACTCATGCATACAATTCCTTTAGCCAAGTAATACTGTACTTTCCGTTCATAATTAATGATTTCTCATCTTAATTGTGTTGCCTTCTCTAAAATACCCATATGCAAGCTGTGGGAGATTAATTTAAATAATATTACGGTGAGGATGTGGAAAACCAGGTATGAACTCCTGGAGCAGTCCTTATTAACTGGGATTATGGGATGCAGGATCCATCTGGTAGGTTTTCAGATGAGAATGTCGGTGGGAGCACCTAGAAGTGCAAAGCAGAACACTGGAATTTGGAAGGAACAGTGCAAATCGGAGAAGTGATGTGGCAAACAGGATGCGACTGAGGAAGAGGAGGAGTGTGTTTTTACATTTAGAGAGAAACTGTCTGCACAGCCACATGGTGAGGAGCTACTGGCGTGGTCACCGCTGCCGGGACTTACCTTTCGTTTTTCAAAGGAAACAAAGACAACTCTTGGCCTTCAGCTTATCCCAGATTTGTAGGAGGAAGGGCTTGCTCTGCCTTATTAGGCTTTGACGTCCGGGCACTTGGAGGTGTTTGAAGCTGGTTTTGAAGTCGTTAGTTCATTGTGTGTAGCCGCTGCCAGACCAAGTGGCCCCTGTTGGCTGCTTAGACCCAGCGTTTGGTCACCGAGCTGGCTGGCGATGCAGGCAGGCTCAGCGTCCCCGCTGCTTGTGTTACCATGAGGGACACCAAAGGTGGCTTTGCTCTACTTTTTCCAGGTCTTGGGTGCTTTTTTTGACTCAAAATGTGTTGTAGAAGCAGCCAAGCAAACGTTAAGTTGCTCATCTGAAGGCTCAGAGCTGCTGACGTACGTTGCTCGCTGTAGGCAGCAAAGCCTGTGCCTGAGAGAGAGTCAGCAGGCTTGGCCCTGCTGGGATCTGTCTCCTTGGCTGCTCAGTACTTGGCTCAAGCACAGAGGTACCACATGAAATCCATTATTAACTGGCCAAATCAAGTATTTCCTAGCCTTTATATGAAAATAATAATTATATATGTATGTAGCTCCAACAACATTTGAAAAGGCATCTAGGGTGGCTGAAAGTGAGTTGTGTCAGTTTAAGTACCCATTTCACGTGACTGCTCTTATACCCCTCTGCCAATTCAAACTTTTTTTTAAATCCAGATTTATTACAGGAAATAAACTTTAATCTCCAGTTTAACATTGTAAATAGTGCAACGGTGATACTTCCTATCCGTCTTCCTGTGCAATCCAGATTTCATTCCGAAGTGTCTGTGTGTCAGGCACCACACTGCCCAGGAAATGCACTGAAGCAGTGGTAGAAGGCTTCAAGTGGAGCAGGATTGATTTAGGGAAGGCCTTCAGAGAGCCCTTTTAATACTAAAGCAAGATAAGTACTGAGGGATCCCTGCCCTGCCCCAGGGATCCAGGACGAGAATTCTTTTCTTCCCGCATGCGCAGAGCTGAGCTCTGAGAGCCTCCCTGCCACCTG